TGGAGGCGTTATAATGTGACGGTCAATCCCAGTATTCGTTGGTAAAAGAGAAGCCCAAGAGTTGGCGGTGGGTGGTGATGACTAGCTGCCTTCCCTCTAGTCTTACACTGCTAAATTAGGGACGGCTAGCGCAGATAGCCCTCGTGTAGCTTTGCGCGAAATTCAAACAAACAAACGTCACGTGATAACTCATTTACAAGTTAAAAGAGTGAAATTCAGTTATTTTTCGTGATATGCCCTTTTTTATATTATATCGTATTTAACGGCATGATAATGTTTGGAGTTTCTCTTTGGAAGGCGTTGAATTTAGGAGCTTTGTTTAAAATGGACCAAAGTGTCGTTCAATCAAGATCTGTACGTGTCTCAGCGCCATTCAGATCCTTTTAGAGAGCCTCTGCGAATGATTATAGCTATGGACTACAAAGGAAAAGCCCTATAACTTCATTAGAAGACTCATATCACTACTGGTTTCGGTCTTAGGCCTACATCAGGCGATAAAACTGTCACAATACATCACAGTGTTCTGGAACGTAGATCAATGATTCAGAAGAACAAGGAAGACTATTGGTTAAAAGTGGCCGAGTGTGGCAAGTTAGTGTGCGGTATATATGCTTAAATTGTGACTATTATCCACTAATACTTTCTAGGCAATAAAAAAAACCACAGAAAAAAGCATCAGCCTGATTTATTTAAACATTAACGGCTCATATTCTTATTTTGTCATGCCAACCGTCATATCAGTTCTGAACATAATCTCAATTTTGAAATATTAAGGGGGGGGGGTATACAGTAAAACTTTCTATAGAAGTGGTCACATTTTCTAGAATATATGTTTATTGTTAAGCACAAATGGGATGATTGTGCTATGCCCACCACGAGGATCGAATTTCGAATCTTAGCGTTATGATCTCTCAAACTTACCGCTGAGCTATAAAATACATTAAGTTGTCAGCGGTTGCCAAGTGCTTTCGTGAAAATAATCGTGTTTATGATAATAAACATAAATACTAATGAAACGGATAAGTTTCAACTTGCTGAAAGAACTAATAAAGAATCACGGATGCGTTTTTCGTTCAGCGTCTCCTCTTCTGTCAGTTCCTGCGGAATTATGCACGAAACAAAAAAGTTCTGCTTTCTAATTTTGCAAATTTTGTAAGCAATATTTTCGAATTCTGCAACTTATTTCGTAAACCGAATATTCGTTTCAAGCAACTTATTTTGTAAACCGAATATTCGTTTCAAGCAACTTATTTCGTAAACCGAATATTCGTTTCAAGCAACTTATTTCGTAAACCGAATATTCGTTTCAAGCAACTTATTTTGTAAACCGAATATTCGTTTCAAGCAACTTATTTCGTAAACCGAATATTCGTTTCGGATATGTACTACTTCAAGAGGTACGTTTTACTTATTTTTTCTTGTTTAGTATGTGTAGTATTATGCACTGAATTTCAAGTGCTGTTGTTAAGCCCCCCTTCCCAGTGGCACAGCGGTATGTCTGCGGACTTACAACGCTAGAATCCGGGTTTCGATACTCGTGGTGGGCATATCACAGATAGCCCATTGTATAACTTTGTGCTTAATTACAAACAAACGAACAAACTGTTGTTAAGGAAGTTTATTTTTCAGTGAACATTTAATCAAACTCGACATTTCCTGTTGCACTGCTGTTACCATCTTTCAGCACCAGAAAAGAAACGTCCTCCGGTTAGCCAGTGGTAAGTCTTCCTATTTACAACACTAAAATCAGGGGTTCGATTCTCCTCGGTGGACACATCAGATAGCCAATGTTGCTTTGCTATAAACACAGAGAGAGAGAGAGAAAAGAAACTCCCTAACCTAAGCGCTTTCGAAAAGTGGACTTTCCTTCCTCAGGGGGTAAATGAAAAATGACCATTGTATCTAAGCGTGTCGATCAGTGTGTGGTATTTAAGAATTGAGACTTCACGCGTTTCTAAAAGTATGACCTAAATTATGACAAACGTTGCGTGTGTGTGTGATGTGTGCAGTGACATAAAACAGAGATAGTTTTGAAGGAAAAAAAAGCTCACAAGATACTGCATGCGTTTGTGCTAGAAGCAATTTACAGAAGAGTACATCAATTACACATTGTGTTTAATATCTGTGATAGACTGTAAGTTACACTACAGGTACATTTAATACGATTACGTTTGATTTAAGTTGTTACTTTCAGTACCTTTATTGTAATTCTATCTATTGTATATTTAAAAATCTTCAGATTCCTGTATTATGTAACTGATAATAAAGGAAAGTTATGAAAACATGTATGAGAGTCCAGTGTGTATCACAGATTCGTTACTATGGCAACAAATACACAGTGGGGATTTTTGTTCGTTATACGCTCGCCAGTAGCACAGCGTTATGTCTGCGGACTTATACCACTAGAAACCGGGTTTCGATACCTGTGGTGGACAGAGTACAGATAGCCCTTTGTGTAGCTTTGTGCTTAATAACATACAACAACAACAACAACAATTGTCCGTTATAAAAGTTTACAATAACAGTGTTAGTACTACCGTAACTTTAATGTGTTATCGTGTATACAAGAGTATTGTTGCGTATCTGCTCGTTTGTTAATTTCCGGTATAAATTCTTCCCGATGAACTTCAGCGATACAAGTCCTTTCTTAATTAAA